ATTGCTGCAACAGATGCTGATGGAAAATCAAACCTATGGCACCAAAGGCTTGACCATATGAGCGAGAAAGGGATGAATACATTTTTGTCAAAAGGGAAGCTGTCGGATCTAAAGAATGTAGATGTCGGACTATACGAGGATTGCATATTTGGCAAACAAAAGAAAGTCAGCTTTGCAAAGATTGGTAAGACACCAAAGGCAAAAAAGTTAGAGTTGGTTCATACTGATGTATGAGGACCATCTCCAGTTCCATCTTTTGCAGGCTCATTATATTATGTCACCTTCATCGATGATTCAACAAGGAAGGTGTGGGTTTATTTTCTGAAGAAGAAATCAGAAGTCTTTGATTCCTTCAGAAAATGGAAGGCCATGGTGGAAAATGAGACTGATTTGAAAGTCAAGCGGCTGAGGTCTGACAATGGAGGAGAGTACAAAAACAAAAGATTCAGAGATTTCTGCGTAAATAATGGGATCAAGATGGAGACAACAGTTCCCATGACACCGCAGCAGAATGGCGTAGCAAAGCGCATGAATAGAACTCTGAATGAATGTTCCAGAAGAATGAGGATACATGTCGGATTGCCTAAATTTCTATGGGCTGAAGCTATCAACACTGCAACTTACCTGATCAACCGTGGGCCCTCAGTTCCTTTGGATGGAAGAATACCAGAGGAAGTTTGGAGCAAGAAAGAAATAAACCTTTCACACTTAAGAGTGTTTGGTTGTATTTCTTATGTATACATAGATTCTGCTAAAAGAAGTAAACTTGATGCCAAGTCCAACAAATGTGTCTTTGTTGGTTATGGTGGTGATGAGTTCGGTTACCGATTTTGGGACTACGAAAATCGAAAGATCATCAGAAGCAGAGATGTCATTTTCAATGCAAATGTGATGTACAAAGACAGGGCAAGCATAGAATCAAGTAGCTCAAATACCGAAGCTGAAACAAAGGAATTTGCTGAGTTCGAGGAGATTTCTGGAAATGATGTTCAAATTAGTCCTGAAGCAGTTCAAGAAGAACCAGGCACACCAGAACTAAGACGCTCCTCCAAAATTCCTAAACCAACCCAACGTTATTCGCCTTCTTTGCACTACTTGTTGCTGAATGACAATGATAAACCAGAGTGCTATGATGAAGCAATACAGGGAGGATTCAGTCAAGTGGGAGTCTTCCATGAAAGATGAGATGTACTCGCTTATGTCAAATCAGACGTAGGAATTAGCTGAATTACCACCAAGCAAGAAAGTGCTCCATAACAAGTGGATTTACAGGATCAAAGAAGAGCACGATGGGATGAAACGCTATAAAGCAAGATTAGTTGTAAAAGGTTTTCAGCAAAAAGAAGGTATTGACTACAATGAAATTTCTCTCCAGTCGTGAAGCTATCTACAATTAGACTGGTGTTGAAAATTGTAGCTGCAGAGAATTTACATCTTGAGCAGTTAGATGTAAAGATAACTTTCCTTCATGGTGATTTGGAGAAAGAAATTTATATGAGGCAGCCGGAAGGCTTCATAGAGGCAGACAAGAAAAACCTAGTATGCAGGTTGAAAAAGAGCTTGTATGGTTTAAAACAAGCTCCTAGACAGTGGTACAAGAAGTTCGATAGCTTCATGGGTAGCAAATGTTTTACCAGATGCCAAGCAGATCATTGTTGCTACATCAAGAGGTTCGACAACAGCTTCATTATTTTATTATTGTACGTTGATGACATGTTCGTTGCAGGCTCATACATGCAAGAGATTATAAACTTGAAGCAAAAATTGTCGAAGCAGTTTGCTATGAAGGATCTGGGCGCTGCAAAGCAGATTCTTAGGATGAGGATTAAGAGAGACACAAAGTCAGAGACTTTGATGTTATCACAGGTTGAGTACATGAACAAAGTACTCTCCAGGTTCAACATGCAAGATGCTAAACCAGTAAGTACACCTTTAGGTGTTCATTTTAGACTCTCCAAAGAACAATCACCAAATACGGAGGAAGAATGTGCACACATGGTGAAGGTTCCGTATGCCTCAGCAATTGGAAGTATGATGTATGCCATGGTTTGTACCAGACCAGGTATTGCTCATGCAATGGGAGTTGTTAGCAGGTACATGAATAATCTGGGCAAGGTACACTGGGAAGCAGTCAAATGGATCCTCAGATATCTGCGGGGTGCTACAAACAAAGCACTTTATTTCAAATGTGGAGATATGATACTGACAGGCTATGTAGATTCTGACTTAGCCAGAAGTATCGACATCAGAAGAAGCACTACAGGGTATGTCTATACTCTAGGAGGAACCGTAGTGAGTTGGGTTTCTCAACTACAGAAGATAGTTGCTCTCTCCACAACTAAAGCAGAATATGTCGCTGTTACGGAAGCCAGCAAGAAGATGGTTTGGCTCCAAAGTTTCTTGGAAGAGTTAGGCAAGAAACAAGAAAACAATGTCTTGTATTGCGACAGTCAAAGTGCTATCCATCTAGAAAAGAATCCTTCTTTTCATTCCAGGACGAAGCACATACAATTACGGTATCATTTTATCCGGTCTCTTCTGGAAGATGAGATTTTGAAACTTGAAAAGATTAGTGGAGCTCAAAATCCGGCAGACATGTTGACAAAGACGGTGACCATTGACAAGCTGAAGTTGTGTTCAACTTCAATTGGCATGCTGGAGTAACAAGTCCAGAAATGTTGCTGCATTGATCGAGGTGTGAAGACAGATTAAAATCAATCTTCAAGTGGGAGATTGTTGAAAGTCAAGCAATGCACCAAATTAAAATCAAAGTTTGGCACCGCCGAGTATGCTTGTTTCAACAAAGTTTGGCACCGATTATGCTTGGTTCAAAGTTTGGTATAATTTTGGTTGAAAATTTAAATGGGTTAATTACACTTTAGTCATTGGACTTTAGGGTATTTTCAAAGATTAGTCCCTAAGCTTCAACTATAAATACCCTAGCTCATTTAGCTTCAAAATCATCCCAAAATCCCAAAATCCCAAAATCAATTTTCTTTCTTCCAATACTAGAGAACTTTCTTGTGAGTAGTGAGTGTTTTGTGAACACTTGTAAATTTTCTCTCTTAGTAAAAGATCTGCAGCAGTCCGGAGACGTAAGCAAAATTGGCTGAACTCCGTTATCAATTTCGGGTATTATTTTTCCGCTTTTATTTCACATTCTCACTAATCTGATCATAGGGAAATTACTCGTTCTCGTTTATTTCCCAACAGAAATTAGAGACCGAATGCCAAAATTAGGTAAAAAAATATAAAGATCAAATTAATAAAGATATAAACATTGAAAACTAAATGTATCATTATGCATGATCTTAGTCGATCATGATCATTTAACCAGTGGTTTAAATAGAAAAATAATTCTTGATTCATCGAGGAGGATATACACTAAATTTATTGATTAAATGGGCGAGGCGCTTTGGGAGGCAACCTAACTGTTTATGGAGAAAGGTAATATCTGAGGGGCCTTTTAGTTCATAGCGTTGTTTCGACTTCATTGGTAGTTCTTCATGTTATTGGTTATTCCGGATAGTAGGCAGTTCGCTTCTTCTGTTCAACACTCATCAGGGTGGAACCGTTGATCAGGGCTAGTTCATTGTGACAAGAGGCTATCCAAACAACAAACAGGTTAAATTTTATTCGGTCGTGGCGAGTTTTGATACTTGGCGTTTGTGCCATTGACCTGGTTCTGTCTCTTACCCTCGGGTTTAATTGATTGCTTTTGGTTCTGCTTTTTTGTTACAATATTGTCGTAGTGTTGTGTTACAACGTTAGACGTTTGGTGAAAGCTACTTCTAGACCGCTTAGTCTTAGCCTTAATTATTCTGGTCAAGCGTTGGCTAGCTTCGAGTAATCTTTTGTTGGTCCTTGCCTGGAACGAAGCGTTGGTCTTGTTGAGTATGGGGTCTCTTGTTACTTGCTGTTATTCAGTGATGTTCAGGACTCTGAGTTGGTAACATTGTTTGGTCGATGTTTTGGAATTGTGCTTCGGGATGCTGGTTTGTTTTGGTTTGGGTGCGGGCGAGCTAAGCAGCGTAGTCGGTGTTCGTGGACTCTGTTGTGTGTATCCGAATCGCATCAGCAGCGGTCTGGCTGCTCGGTGTCTGTCCCATTGATGCAGTTCATGATATCGGCATGTTTTTACCTTTGTATATGTTAGGTTGGCATTGATCCGAGACTCTTTTTCATCCAACTAGATTTATGGAGTTTTTTAAAGAAGCCTTGATCTCTGTTGTTATTTTATATGCGTAGTCGGAAGTGATAACATACAAAACACCTTTTTTTTTAAGAAAAAGGAATTCATGGCAGATGCATGATCTAATTTATTAGATTCAGTATGATCAAATTAAATTATAAAAAGACTCATCATATATTCATTAACCTGTCCTTATGACATACTTTGTATACTTGTGAGGTTGAGATTTTCTCATAATCGAACCATATTCTAAAACTGGACGGTTCAATAAAAATGATTGGATAGATTCACTAAATTGATTTTGAGACGATGAGCTTGCAATTACTCTTTATGACTTCATAATTCTGATTTGGATGTTTAGTATTTGAGATAGAATTGATAAAATTAGTTATGCAAGTAGGGACGGAGACATGATTTTAAGTTAAGAGAGAAAACATGACTTTATAAAATTTCAGGGGACGAAAACATATTTTCAATAAAAAATACATAAAATATCTAAAATATATAATAACTTTAGATTTTTAGGGGGCAACTGCATCCACCCGCTCCCGCTAGATCCATCCCTGTATGCAAGGTTTAATCACCAAAAATAAAAGATAGGACGTCTTCATTTTAGAACACTCACGAGCATTTCGAGGTATAGTTATTTGTTGGTTGGATTATTGTGCAACACAATTGAATTTAAGATTAGATATGCATTATTGAAATTGGAGTATTTATTTAAAAAGTTTCATTTGTTTTGTAGGAAGAAGAAGATTATGATTGGAGTAACTGGAATCTACACATGTTGAAAGAATGAACAAACCTCTCACTTATTAGCTTTAAGCCAATCAAGAATACCCTTTTCTGCTTCACTTAGCTCCTGCTCCTTCTTCCCTTTCAATGTCCCTTCCACGAATTCAAAGTAATCCTTGTAGTTTCGCCTGTAGTATTTCTCCATTCTCTAAAAGCAAACATCATCCGGTTAGGGGTAAATCATAGGGGGAAAATAGCATAATGACAAAAATTCTTAATATTTGATTAAATACTCACTTTAGCTTTTATTTTTTAAAGCATTTTGGTCCAACGTTTTATTGTAGAGTAAAAAAAACTCTTAGTGGATAGAAACAGGGTAAATTATGTGTTTATTACATAAACTATCAATTTTGGTTTGTTTTAATACCTAAACTTTCAATTTTTTTTGAAAATCGTACCTAAAGTTTAGTTTTAGTTTCGTTTTAGTATCTCTGGCGTTAAAAACTTTAGTTTTTGTTTCATTTTAGTACCCCCATTCAAAAGTTAATGTTGAGTTTTTAAAAAATTATAAGTTAAGGTACTAAAACATGTAATGCCCAGATTTACGGGTTAGTAGTTTCGGTCAACCCGGAACCAGATATTATAGCCCATTAGATTAAATAGAGTCATTTTAGTGATAGTTTTAAATTAAATAAGAAAAGAGGGGGATCTAGATAACAATTTACTCCTAACCTATTTTAAGGTTGTAAACCTTCCCATTCTCCAGAAAGTTCCACACAAAAATCTCCTCTTTCATTTTCTCTTCCATTTTCTTCTTCTGTTTCCTTCTCATTAGCAAACCAATGTGAGATTTCAAGCTAGATTGAAGAAACCAAGGTATTTTTCTTATTCTCTGTTCCCTTAGCATCAATTAGAGTCATTAATTTATAGTTTGGTTAAAATTTTAGAAATGAGTTTTTTATGGGATTTTAGAAATCAAGTGTTTAAAGTCATTTTAGAAGAGTGTTTGAGTTGTAAGGAGTGTATCTAAGCTTTATCCAACACCTAGTTAAGGAAGTAATCCATTTTTATACTTTGATTAGTTAAAGAGGTTAAAGAGAGAGTTCAAGCCAAGGGAAAAGGAAGAGTGAATCGCTAGTTGATTCAAGAAGTGTTTAAGCATATAAAGAATCCAGGTAACACAGTATTAGCTTTTCCATACCAGTTGTAGAATAATTTGAAAGATGTTTAGCTTGAAAGTTTAGTTTAAGAATGTTTAGTAGATTTTCATGGTAGATTTTATGTTTCATGCTTTTAGTATGCATTAAAGCTTTATTTACGTTTAGTAGATTTTATGTTTAGTATGTAGAATCCTTTAATATCAAATAAGACTTTAAGAAAGTTTGATGACTTCACTAGGGTCTTTGGGTTTGAAAAATAGATATTTTCGTTCTTGTTTTATGGCTTCTGTAGGTAAAAGTATCCATACTATAGGGATAGTATCAATACTTGTCTTCGTTTTGGGGTAAAAATGAGTTTTCTGGGTATGAGTATTGAAACTCTTACAAGAGTATCGAAACTTTGGGTTATAGTTTCAAAACTCCCAGAAAGTATCGAAACTAGGCATAACATAATGTTTAAAAGTATTGATACTTATATAAAATATCGAAACTTTTGTATGAGTACCGATACTCTTAGGTTAATGTCGATGCTTTCAGTCTGTTTTGGGTGAAAAGGTTTGTTTTAAAGGAATTAGACATGAGGTGCCCAACACTTTAATATATCATCAAATAAGACTACAAGTGGAACAATATTAATGTTAATTCAAACTTAGAAACCAAATAATTAGGGACAAATAAGACTAGCATTGTTTGATGTTTGGGAAACGATTCAGACACCTGAGTTCCTTTAGAAAAGCTAATAGAGTCGAAAGTATAGATGTAGTCCAGATATATCCTTAGGTAGGCAAGGCCCTTAAACCCGACTAACTAAGGTCGAGGACTGACACTTGCAAGGGGCGGGTTAGTCAAGGGTATGGTGTCCGATGCAGAATTCTGGGGGCCATATCTCAGTAGACTAGAGAGGATGCATGAGCTCCGAGATGCAGTAATCCCTCAGCTGCACCATGATTTCTACAGTAGCATAGAGAGTGAGTATCGAAAGGATATTCACTAAGCAGATCAGATTAATAGACTTGATAGCTAGCCTTTCAGTGATATGTGCTTAGTATGTTTTAGCTATTAGTGTGTCGCTAAGCTAGTTACTTCAGCCTTTGGATTGTTTCTGTGGGCAGGTTAGTAGATCCAGTAGGTGAGGAGCAGTAGATAGACCAAAACCCAGTTCAGACTAGTGCAGATTCAAAGTATGTCTTATCATTTTTGAAAAGGCATATATATTTGTAAATTTTATTGTCCAGTTGAGTTGTAGTTTCAGTAGAGTGATCTGTATTATTTTTGTAGAGTGTAAATATTTTAATTTGGAGCTCCTCAGTGTAAAGATATAATTTTTTTAGTTTATTTCACAGTTGTTTATATTTAAAGAAAGTAAGAAAAGTTGGTCAACCACTTCGGTGGTTCCGTGTAGCACCTTAAATCGGTCAATTGTGTGTCGTACTAGTCTAGGGTGTTACAAAACAGACCAAAATTGATAGTTTAAGTACTAAATGCATTAAGTTTTAACGACAGAGTAGTAAAATAAAATGAAAACTAAACGTTAGGTATGATATTGGAAAAAAATTAAAACTTTAGGAACTAAAAAAGATCAAAACTTATAGTTTAGGTACTAAATGCGTAATTTTTCTTGAAAATTATTAGTCAACATATTATCGACGTTTCAAAATAGAGGATTTTTAAAATAAAATATTGGGACAAAATGGTCTTAAAAAAGAAAGGGTAAACTACGAATTTAGTGACCCAACTATCACTTTGGTTCTGTTTTGAGTCACTCAAAACATACCTAACGTTACGTTTTAGTTCTATTTTGGTCATCCATCGTTAAAAAATTAAAGGTGATGCTGACGTGACATCATAAGATAATGTCATGTCATTATTGAAAAAATAAAAGTATTACCATATTATTAGTCTGCTTATTTTTTTATCAGAGAGTGATCAAAATGAAATTAAAACGTAACACTAGCTATGATTTTGAAGAAGAAAAAATAGAGTGACTAAAGAACTAAAGTAATAATTGGATGAATAAACACGGAGTTTATCCAAAAGAGAATAATGGGTAAAGTAATTATATGGTCAAACATTAGGATTATTTGTATCTTGAAATGAAACGTTAAAATCAAAATGCTATAGAAATAATAGGAATGTATTTAATCAAATATTAAGAAGATTTTTAACATTACACCTTAAGGAAATTGGTCATCTTAAATGATCAGAATTCAGAATCCTACTTTTTTTTTCATTCTTGGCTTTATTCTCCTCTATTGGAAATGTGAATAACAGAGGAATATAATCTGGATATTGCTATTATGTAAAACGTGTGTTTGAGTACAAGATTGATGCTCCTTATATACTACTACTCTTAGTTGTATCAGCTGCTAATACAACCACCTTAACTGAGCAACTAACCAAAACTAACAAAACTAACTTGCTAACAACCTTAGCTGTTAAAACAGCTTCATCTTCAGGAAGCTTCTAAGTATACTTCTTACATTCTCTCTACTTCTTCTTCTTCTGTTCCTCTCCTGATCGTGAACAGACTTGCACTCCAATCTTGTCACGAAACATTTCAAAAGCTAAACAATTGAAAAGATGAACAATTGAGTCGAAAGTGCTGATGCTTCATTCCGTTCACTTTGAATCGAAAGTGCCGATGCTTTCTTTCGTTCTTCTTGAATCGAAAGTGCCGATGCTTCCTTCCGTTCACTTTGAATCGAAAGTGCTGATGCTTCTTTTCGTACTTCTTATTCACCTTCATTTCTTTCTTCTTCACCCTCTTTTACAAGGTTCCTTGAATTTTTTTATGGACTCTTAGTTGTGAAGCTTTCAAGTCCCATGACACTTTGAGATAGAAGCAACAAAAGTAACAAAATGAATACAAAATTAAACTTCTGTTTACACACACAAAAGAATTATACTACTATGCAGAAATAGCGGTGATAGCCTTGCCATTGGCACCAGTATAGAAATTGGATTATGTTCAACATCTACCCTTCAAGCACCAACCTGACCAAAGAGCCACTTGCGTATCTCTGGAAGCTTTTTATTGAATGCAACATCCAACCGTGCATCCAAGGTGTTCTCACAAACAATCTTTCCATCTCTAAAACATTGTACCTGCACAACATTCCTGAATCAACGCCCTCAATTAGTTTCTTTTTCACCCACAGGTCCCAAATCCAGTCAACCAACACGGTTCCATTCTCATCCACGGGCCTCTTTCCCGTAGCCACCTCCAGGACAACCACTCTGAAGCTGTAAACGTCGGTTTTCACAGTCGGAACACCGGTATAAACGTACTCGGGTGCCAGATATCCTATCGTCCCGGCTGGTATCGTTGCATCTCTTGAAGCGCAACAATGTTCGTACACTTCGACTAAACCGAAATCTCCGAGCTTGGCATTGAACTCGTCATCAAGCATGATGTTGTAAGTTTTCACATCTCTATGTATTATCTGTCTTTCACATTCTTCATGTAAAAATGAAAGAGCAGAAGTAACCCTGAGAACTACCTTTAATCTCAATCTCCATAAAAGGGTAGTTGTTGATGAAACTGAGGTTTTGTGAATGTGTTGGTAGAGGCTTCCATCATAGATCAAGACCAACTCAGATTCCTCACAACACCATCCTTGAAGCTGAATCAAGTTACAATGGTTTAGCTAACCGTCCATAATGGCAAACTCTGTGTTGAAAAGATTACGAGTGAATGCTTTTCCGTTGAACTGATCGAATCGCTTCACCACGACAGTTTCAGCCGACGGAACATAACCTTTATAAACAACTGCTGAACCACCTTTGCCGATGATTCGACTCTTATAAAACCCCATTGTAGCTGATTTTATCTCTGCAAGTGACCATCTTGTTGGTACATTGTTCGTTTGAACTCTAGGAATTGCACTCTTGATTCCTTTTGCCAAACCCCTCTTCTTCCTCACCGCAAAGAAACAAAATGGAACTGTTGTTACATCAACTGAAATAGAGATCTCGTTAGCTCTCTCCTCCGCTTCTTGGCGGATGAAGCTCACCATTTGTTGGATCGACTTGGATGTGAACGACACCGGTTTAGCAGCCGTTGCCGCTGCCGATGACATTTTCTCCTCCTCTTCCATGCAGCGGTAGAAAACAAAATAAAGTCAGGATTGTTTGGCGAATGATACCATATTGGAAATGTGAATAACAGAGGAATATAATCTGGATATTGCTATTATGTAAAATGTGTGTTTGAGTACAAGATTGATGCTCCTTATATACTACTACTCTTAGCTGTATCAGTTGCTAATACAACCACCTTAACTGAGCAACTAACCAAAACTAACAAAACTAACTTGCTAACAACCTTAGCTGTTATAACAGCTTCATCTTCAGGAAGCTTCTAAGTATACTGCTAACATCCTCTGATTTCTTCAGGTATCCTGTCACATTAAGCTCTTCTCACATTCCCAAAACAAATTAAGAAATGGAGTATTTTATAAGGAAGAACGTGAAACGAGTACGATACTTTTGAGCAGCTGAGTTCTGGAATCATTGAGTTGGGGAGCAGAAGCCACGACGGATAACATAAAGCCTCTCCTTGCTACTCCGATGTCACCACCACCGCTCGTGGAGGATGCCGTAATTGTATCGGTTGGTTTTGGTTTAGAGGCGGTGGATGGCGATTTCCCTTGGTTCCTATGAACCGCATGCATGTTTGAAGAAGCGAATTGGTTGACTGTTACAGTCAGTGCCATTAAAACACTTTGAGCTATTGAACCCATTCTTGAACTTCAACTTTACACCATTTTTTCTTCTTTGTTTTCTCCAGGGAAGAAGGCAGCCACAGGTTTTTGTTTTTCAATATGCAGATAAAAGGATGAGGCTCTGTATGCCTACAATTTTACATATTTCTCCTTGTTAAGACACTACAGGACAAAATAAAAATGATGAAACACCATGTCACTAAATTTGGATCAATATGCCCTTCATCATCTTAGCTAAATTGTTAAGATTGTTCTTGGCCTTTTACAGCCCCATGATTTCAGATTGATACAAAAGTTCATGCAATACCCAGTTGATGTCCCAATTGCATAAGCAAATGCCACGGTCTTGACTTGTCTTTCATTTGTACTGAACACTAACCTATGATTTATCGTACCAATTTAAATGCTTTTAAACGTCCTTTGAATGCAATACCATTTAAGCATGGATAGTTGTAGGATTTTATGTTAGGGAACGAATTTGAACTTATAAAATTTCAACAGAAAAACTTAAAGTTATAAAATTCTAAGAGGCGAAAATAGATTTTTAATAGAAAATACATAAAAAAATCTAAAAATATATGGTATTTTAAAGTTTTAGGGGTGGGCGACCGCCCCTACCCACCCCGCCTAGGTCCATACCTGCATTTAAATACTTAAAATTCCTTTTAAATTCAACCAAACATAAACATGAGCTATGCTTGAATTGAACCACTATGATTACACCAAAGGTAATGTCCGGTCTAATATGACATAAGTAAAATATTTCCCCCAGAATATTTGTATAAGTTTAAGCATAATGCAATGGACTACCTGCATTTTTTCAAATTGTAAGGATGCAACCATAGGTGATGGTGTTGGCCAGGTTTGACTCATCTTCGGTTTTTCCAATAGCCCTATTATAAACTTCCTCTGGTTTAAAAACAACACATCCTTGTTCCTTTATACTTCAATTCTTAAAAAGTAACTAAACTTACCCAAGTCCTTTAGAGACAACATCTCACTAAGAAGCATTGCCACACTGTTTATTTTCCTATCTGAACTTTATGTGATAATTATATCATTTACTTGAATAAGAGCATGTGTGCACAAACCAACACTACAGCGAACAAACAAGGAAGTATTTGTTGTTGAACCTTTGAAGCCTATATCTTGTAAGTAATCGCGCTATTTAGAGTGTCAATTCCGTGGCGCCTGCCTCAATCCATACAACGCTTTCTGTAAGTTGCACACGAATTTTGAACCATCTGATGCATATTGTTCAAAACCTGGGATTGATGCATAAACACATCTCCTGTCATCTCTTCAGTGAGAAAGACATTATTAATGTGAATTTGCCTTGGACACCACCCATTTAATTTTTGTGAAATGAAATTGATGCAATTGTTTCTGACACTGTTGTTTTTTGTCTAAATGCCTCATGTAAGGATGCTTGTAGTCCAGATTCTCCTGCAGATAATTTTTCAAATACTTTCATCATCTCATATTGTGGCTTAATGGCAGATAAATTTTGGTAAGGCAATTTTCCTTGAGTACTTGTGGCGTTTAAAAATACCTTATGAACAATATACCATATGATGATCTTTCAATATAATATTAAATCTCATCTTTATTTTATGAAAATCAGTAAAAGTATACCAAACATTTAACTTTAAATAGATTATCTAATAATTTAGATCATAAATTTAAAGTTTTCAGAATAAAAAAAGTTATTGCAAGATTCTCCAACCAAACTCTGAAACTTTGCTTAATTATTAATTAATATGCATATTACTTCCATTAATATTTTATATTTTTGGCAAAGCCTTTTCTTTGTTATTGTTCTCTTGAGGCAATTAAAAGGGTCAATTTCCTTTACATCTCTATTGGGGATGGAGGCTTCTATTCTCTTTTCTTTATCACAAAATTATAGTCTGTACATACTATATTAATTATATTTTTTATAAAATATTATTTTTAAATTAAAACAATTATATCTAAACATACTCATTTTAAAATCTTTTAAATATACACGAACCAAAAATGACATTGATGGAAAAAAATTATTATTACTACTTGAAGTTCTCAGGTTCGAGCACGAAAAATATCAGGGGTATGAGTATTTAATGTCAAGTGACTGAGAGTTATTTTTGAACATATACTACCTTATACTTACCTAATATTAATAAAAAATATTTTAAATATTATAACAATAATATCAGACGAAATAATAATCGATCAATTTTGTTGTTATTATTATTTGTTGATGGTAACAAAAAATATCGTCGACTATAAATGGTTCTTCCCTTTTGGTTTGGATAAAGAGTTGTGACCAACGAGAGGTCAATTGTTATTCTATGTTTGGAGAGAGGAGAGGGTAAATTATCATAAAGAAAAAAGATCAATTAGTAGTGAACAATTCACCATGAGAAGGCATAAGGAAAAGGATGAATGTTTATTGTAAAGGAGCCAGACCTTATAGTAATTTTTAGTGTGCGTGTTAGCTGTAAGGTCATTGTGAATATTAGTATACTATTAGATTAGGTAGATTTGGTACTCAAACTTTAGAGTTTGTTTCGTTTTAGTGGATCTATAAAAAATATTGTCTAGGTGTAAGATATTTTTTAGCATTAATATGATGAAGAACGAGAGATTTTGGAGGTCATTCTTTGGAGATAATGTTGTTGTTGTTGTTGTCTGGGTAAGGTACACGAATAGTTACTAAAGTTTGATTAAATTTTTGTTTCTTTCTATTGTATTTTTTAAAGTTACTAATTGATCAATAACGTTAACGAAACGTAACAAAATGATCACTCAAAATTAACAACCGTTAACCCAATGGAAAGTTGAAATGGATCTTTGACCGCCACGCTGGAGAGTCGTTGAATTCTATGTTGATTGACTCTTCAACTAATACTATAATATATTAAAAATAGCCCCCATTTAATGAATATTTTTATTGATTAAAACCCACCAAAGCCCTTTTATCTTCCTTTCGCCTGAGAAAGAATCAGTTTGAGAGAACTTACCTGCAAATTACTTTTAAAGCTTTAACTTTTCATCATTCTAGTTTCTTATTAAAAAATGATAAATTCAAACAAAGCTTTGAGTTAGCACTAAAAACATCATTTTTTTTCCTCCAAATATATCACAGATTCTATTTGATTAACAAAAATATGTATTTTAATCTATAGGTGGACATAAAAATGATAGACACTGTTTTTTCTTCTTCTTCATCGCTTCGCTCAACGGCTTTTCGTAACAAACCAAGGAAATAACCGGGTTTTCAAACCAAGGAAATAACCGGGTTTTCAAACCAAGGAATCGTTCAAGGAAATCTCAACACAGTCGTCACTCTAGTAACGATTTCTCTCTCCCACTCTCTGGTTAAGAGATGTCATTGGCCTTTGCCGATTAACGCTGTGTAGGTCCTCACCAGCGCAGATGCGGTAAATGCACATGTAAATAAGACACAAGTTATTCATACTGCAGTCAGCCAACAATGTAAAACTTAATATTAAATGATATGTGGACACCAGTTTTCGCCCGGACATTTCATTATTATTATTATTATTTTATTACGACAAGTCTAAAGTGGGCCCAAATACAATTCAAAGGCCATTCGGCCCAAACCGGCCCAATTGGTCCAAAACCAAACCATGGCCCACATCAATTAGGGTTTCGTGAAACCCTAGCTTTCCATTCCAGCCGCCATCACCGCCGGTGAGATTCTTCTGCCATTGTATTTGTTCCGGCCGCCTGTTCCCGATGATCCAACCACTGTTTCAACTAATCATTGTCATCTACAGCAACAATAAATCAAAAGTGTCAGAAAATCCACCAAACTAAACCAAATATGGAAAAACCCTTTAATTTTTTTTGTTGTAAATCCCGTAAAATACAGGTTTGTTAAAGGGGTCTTAGGAAATCATTCCCATACCATCTACCTTCACCACTCCCTACAAACTGCTCCAACAGTACCAAATCATTGATTTAATTTTTATTGTAATCGGGTGGTTTTAAAACCCAAAGCAACTGAAATGTAAAGGGGGATCCAGATTCAATAAAAAGAGATGAGAGATTGTAAAAAAGGAGGTTCATCGATTAAAAAGAGAAATGAAGTCTTCCCTGTTTTTAAAACAAGGAATGGCATAAGTTTTTTATTTTATTTTATAATTATTTTAGAAAAAAATAATAAAGAGAAAAGAAAGGGGTTTTACATCTCAGTCGGAGCATCACCGGTGTTCGGAGTCTCCATCGTCGAATTTGAACGGTGACCAGAGGCATATGGAGGAGGGGAGCGTCATACTTCAAGATCGGGTCAATCCAACGGCGGAGAAGCTAGATCAAAGAACGGGAAACAAAAGGATTCTCAGCCCTTTTCGTGGAGTTCAGGGTCGAATCTCATAAAACAAAGACTCGATCCGACCCCATGGCACCAGGGTGAGAAAACCCCTAAAGTTTGGTAGCCAATAGCCACCAGAGGCGACGGTGACCGACACAACTATCAGCGACGGTGCTCGTCACCGATTTCTGGAGAAATGTAGAGAGAATGAGAAGAGTTTAAGGAAAGTGAGAGAGTGAAGAAGGGAAAATAAAAAAAAACAAAACAAAAAAGGGTATATATAAACCAAATCAAACGGCGTTGTTTTGGGCTATAGCCGTGCGTTTTGGGCCCCAATGGTCTAGTCTCTTCCGCGATCCTCCCAAGTTTCTCTTTATTGCATTTTGGTCACTGTCATGCGATCTTTTCAAATTTAATTGTCTTTGTTTTGTTATTTTCCCTTTTTATTTCTCAAAATTAACTTTTTGGTTTATTTTCTTCCAAGTCCCTCTACTTTATGTGCGTTTTTCCACTTCGATCACTAGTCCCCTATTTATTTTATTTCTTTGTTTTTTTTCTCTGATTTTTACTTATTTTAATTTAGTCACTATTATTATTCTGGTTTATTTGAAATTAGTCACTGGTTTTATGTTTATTCATTTTAGTCACTATTTGGATTCTGCTTCTTATTTTATTATCATTTGGATGTGATGTTTGCAATTTATTCATTTTAGTCACTTTTCGAGACTTTGTTAACCTTCTGATTTGAATCTTTTATTTTGCACATATTCATTTTAGTCC